CAAACCAGGCAGGAGGAGCACTTATTCTTGCAAAGCTTTAATAATCTGTGAATGGCTGACTACAAACTGATGTAGGGCAGTATCATTCCACCAGCCTCACGAAATTGCTGGCCACAAATAGTAATTAATCTTTTTATCCCTCAAATTGTAATTTTGACTATGAACTGCGCGCGGCCATAAATCAGCGGCACGCGCGCTGTGTACGGAGCATGAATCACGGCCGGGGCTCCGTCCGACTGCAGCCTCTGTGTTTAACAAGCTTCATAAGGAGCCATTGGGCTTTATTATGGCTCTGCCTGACTCCAACAAAAACTGAGCCCGGAGGCCCGGGGACGCGAGTTAAGATGAAAATACTTATTAGAGTACATTACTTCTTGATGTAGATATCGTTTTCCGTGGAGTAACGCCACGGTGCATGGCGCGACATAAATCAGGGGGTTTTCTGAGACTAATAAGACCTGCCGCCGTCTATTCATTACTCAGCCCGCAATTTGGGCCATCACTCATTAGTCAGCACGTAATTTGATGATTAACACCACCCAACTCAGCAGGTCTGCGGAGCGCCGGGAACACAAAGGCTACAGCTTCAAGGAGCAAGGTTAGAGGCTGCCTTTGAAAGTGCTTTCCGGAATAATTGGTCACCGTTATCCTCGAGTGCTCGGGCTGCTGGTGTCAACACCCACGGCGGGTCTCGTAAGCGCCGCCGGAAGACTTGCACGTACACTGGATAACGCGCCCGAAAGTTGAGGACCGCAATATGATCTGACATTCCATCATACGTGCCGGAGACAAAGGTCCGCACAGGAATGTGAAGTAAGACATTTTCTTGTTAATAAAGCATTGATCCGACATATTGATTTTACATGACATGGCTTCTGCCGCGATTTTGCCCTCCTTTTCCTTTGCAAACAGTAAAGCTCTTCAGAATGCCTCGGCGTAGGTAACACGGCAAAATTTCTAACTCTCTGTGATGTAAATTCTATATGTGTAAAACCACTTCATAATCAAACCATTAATCATCAGAAGCTGTCAGCGGTGACTTGGGGGACGATTTGTCATGTCTCTGCCTGGCCGGGACAAGGGTGTCAGGCGAAAGTGCAGTGCAGGGAGCAGGGTGGCTGGGCCTCACCCAGTGACTTGGCCCAAAACAGGATGCGGTGAAGTCTTATGTGTCCTGACTGCGGAACAAAAAAGGTGGCCCACTGTGCATCCCTAACACGCCAGGTTTCTCCTCTCCCCCAGCTAATCGCCATGACTGTTCGACTTAATGAATCGGCCTGATGAAAGGTGATCAGAAAAGATAGATGGGCGGCCGCTATTGATTTCATGCAAATGCCCCGATAGGTGATAGACACTTTAATGCAAGCTTTCAGAAGCTTTATGACTTGTAATAACCATACACTCTCATTCTGGGGGGAGACATTCCCGATGTTTCAGTGGAATTGACATTCTCCTTCTAGGACCCAAAAGATCTTAAAGCAGTAGAAAAAAACACGGGGGTACCGTTCACCTCCCGCTTCAGCCCAAAGAGCGTTTACGTCTTGAGCGCACCGCCAAGAACGAGGTCGGACGTTCGGAAGATGACATGCCATCCTACGACTGTAGGTCTCGCCGTGCTGGACACGGCGAGGGGGGCAGGGGGCGGGCGCCGCTGTTGCGGCTAGAAATCCCACCGGGGGCTCCGCTATGGTAGCCCGACGGATTTACGTGGAAGAATGAGAAGAAGGGGCCCTTGTCTTCAAACTACAGAAGCAGAGACATGTTCTCGGTTCTGGCGGGTGCGGGGGCTTTGATCACTGAGGGTGGGACGGCCCTCCTCTGCGTCTGCGAGAGCGGCTGCCATCCGCGGGGCCGGGCGGCGGCCTTCCGAGGGCCACACCCCACAGAGCCCTCCGCCCCGTGCCAGGCAAGACAAGGAGTCGCCCAGACTTGGCTGGCAAACTCTACAACTGGAGGAGAAAGCAGAAGCCCCTTCGGGCGCATCTGATAAATCCTCCGCGTGCGGAGTGTACAAGGAGGGCCCGGCCGAGCCAGGCCACGGCTCTGCACGTCCAGTCACAGAGCACCGAGCCAGGCCAATCAATACCACTTTCCTGTTTTAGAACTGGGTAATTATGAGGGGGAGAGATTGCCTGACCTTTCACCTGCACTGCATTACTTTGCTGATATTAAGATAAATTGCCTGATTTTGGGTAAACATATGCTGCGATTCAAGCTGTCAGCACTGGTTTGCTCAGGGATAATTTGTATTGATCTCCCAGCTTCTGCCCAATTTTGCTTACTGACCTCGTGGATAATTAGAGAAGGAGCCTTGGGTGAGCTCAAGTCGGGACGAAGAAGAAATATGAAGAAGAATAAAGCAAATTTGTTTTATGTTAATATTTGTAGGTCCTCCTCCGGCCCTCACATCTGTCAGCATCAGGAGAGCCGTAAATTAATGGACTTGGTTCCTGAGCAGTTTATTCCCAGGAATTATTTAGCAGCGTGCTTAGTCTCTGAACATGTGTCACTGGGTTAAATTAATTTAAACTCTGCCTTAAACACAACAAAAACAAATGTTATTTTTTGCTGAAGGGGGAAAAAACCGAGACATTTCTCAAAATGTATTATAAGCGTCCACCCTTCTGCAGGGATTTCCACCGATCTGCGTCGGAGAGGGTGAGTTTTATAATAAACCGCCCCCCCCCCGCCCCCGCAAAAAAAAAGTAATTAGTGCCCGTTATTTGTTCTGAATTCAAATCTTGCTACGATGGGCCACTACCTATAAAAGAGATGACTGCAGGCACAAAATTATATCATTTAAGATATGTCAGATTATAAGGCTGTTGTATCAAAAGTCATAAAACAAATGTCCCTTGTGAAATATCTCTTTATTAACCGTGCCATAAGATATTAACATTCCTCATTTAGTGGAGGGCCTTTTATCTGTTTCAAATACATTATTCGTCCTTTTAGAGATAAACCGTATTAATATCCATTTGAGTAGGCTACCGTGGCCTAATGCATAGTAATTTTTGTTGGAGAGCTTTTATTTTAGACTAAGAAAATTACACAGCAGTAAAACCTGAATGAACCAGAAGCTGGAGTAGCCGGGAATCACATTCCATTTATGCCAAATGGGGCAGGCAATCAGGCAGCCTGTGAAAGGCCAGATATCCGGCTATCATATGCAGGCCAGCATCCAGCACGGGTCATACAAATAGAGCCTGACACGGCCACATAGACTCAATGAGTCCTACACGCCGGAATAGCCTACAGCTCGGGAAGGATACATATTTAAATATATTTGAGTGTACTGGAGTTAATCTCGTTACTTTACATGCATTAAAGTCATAACAGAAGAAGCATTCTAAATATTTAAGTCATGCCCGTGTACTGGGGGATTAATCATTCCGCAATTGATAAAATTTTAACGGTCTGTGATGTCAGTTCAAGTTGGGATTGCCGGAGCTAATGTGGCAGCAGAAAATGGCATCAGGCTCTGAGCTGCAGCTGCGGCCAGAGCAGCTCCAATCGGCCGGCTGCAATTAGAAACGTACCAATGGGCAAGAGTCAGTGGCATTTTCTTTCTTGTGACATACATAGTTTTAGTTTTCATTCTGATGGCTCAGCCTTCTTTGTCAGCCAACCCTGCCCTGCAGTCTGTGCTGATCTCTAATACCCCAAAACGTATATGATTATTTTATTAGACTCGAACAGCAAGTCCATTAACATCTAAACGTAATTCAATGAAGCAAGGGGACATCTTCCGGACCTCTGGGTTGATAACACAGAAACAGAATTTCAGATTGGGCAGCGTATGTGTTTGGGGCCAGTGAATGTTTCCTACAAAGAGCCACCTCTCTTAGAAGGAAAACGGCCAAACCGAATGCCTTTAAGTCCGGTTCATCCACTCGACATTTATTAAGCAGCTACTACATGCCTGGGGCTTCACTGTGGGAAACCCGCTCCCCAAGGGCATCAGGGAAAAAGCAGCCCCGAGCAGAGCTGACCCCCTGTTCATGCTGCTGCGGCTTCAATGGGCTGCCTGCCCAGGGTGCTGGGATCCCCCCCAACCGCCCCCAGGCCTGGCTGGAGGTGCCCTGCCTGCAAACAGGGACTGGGTCTGGGGCAGGAAGGAGGGGTCACAGTGACAAGGCTGAATTGTGATGGCAACCTCCCAACCACTCCTGCAGGGGAGACCTGGAGACCAGCCCAGCCAGCGAGCAGGGCCGCCGACTTTAAGTACACCAAGACTAGCTGTTCTTACAGTTGTGTTTTTAAAACAGTGTCCCTAGTGCACAAGGGGGACAGTCACAGGTAGGAAACTAGCCACTTCTAGCATCGCCTCTGCACTGCTTAAACCGAAGCCCAGCGAGCAAAGAAAGATACAAGAAGTTTCAGGTTTAGCACAAATTCTCCTTCTGCCCGAAAAACCTGCTACAACAATAAAAACAGGAAGACATTCATTTGCTTCATTCCAGCTGCTGGTTGCAGCTATTAAATGAGTTCCAGTTTCATTTCAATAATGATCATCTTCCTGTAACTTCCCAATCATGCATTTGTCATAATG